TCAACATAAGGCCCTTCTAAACATATTTCCCCTCTTTTGTTGCAAATGCACTCCTGAATGTTTAATAAAATTCTCGCGCTGTCGAGGCTTCACTGTGTCCACGCGGGGGAGTAACAAATCAAACGCGCAATGGGAGAAAGGAAAATGATGAGTGCGGGAGCGGGAGGGGAGCAGTGACGAAGAAGGTGGATCGAAACAGTTACCCACTAATTGCAAGCATGCGTCGCGCAGCTTTTTGTCACCCGTTGACGGCTGTTTGCGGTTGTAATTGTAATTGCGCCTGTATTAGTGTTGCGGCTCAATCAAATGTCGCGCTGCGCAGCATTTACAGTTGCTGCGGCGGACATTTGCTGAATCATTTGTTTATGGCCGAATCAGGAGTGTGTGTTTGTATTAATTACCGTTTTAAGCTGCCTCCTCTCTGCCTCTTCTTCCCCTTTGCCTGCTTCTTCTTGCTTGCTGGGAATGGGAATTGGAATTCTTTGCTGTCAAACACTTCAATGAAAACTTTTATGTGGAGCAATTGATAAAGCCGCGCTCACGCACACACTGACACTTTGCTGCCGGAATCTACGCACACACACACACTGGCATTTGTACGTTAAAATTAAGTACAATAATTCACTGGTTGTTGTTGTTGGCTTGGCACTTGTGGACCGTTTTTTGCGGCTCGCTTGCAATTAAACAAACAATTTTTCTGCTGCAGTCGCAATAACAATATTCATCGATCGCCGCGTTTTGATTAAATTGTTTGAATTACGTTTTCTATTATTATAATTCTTCGACTGGACTGCAAGCACGAGAAAGCTTCCGCACCGAACCGCACTCGAGAGCTTCGGAAAAATAACTGTGCAGCAGCATGCGATCGAAATCGACTTCGGGCCTCTTTTTCCACAGCGGAGCGACAAGTGGCGATTACAACAACAACTGGTTGTATGAATGAATTTCGTTTGGCACGCTCTGCGCTTATATTAAGAGAGCGGAAGAGAGTCTAAGAGCGGCGCTCTTTTTGGTATTTGAAGCAGGTTATTTCTGCTGAGTGATTATTATCATTATGAAGTGATCTGATTTGCTGCTGATATTAAAGCAAGACCGGTCAATAATTACACTGGCCAACACGCGCTAATGGCTTTTTGAGTATTTATTGAAAAAATACCATTGGAATAAGTTAAATACATTGATCTTATGAATTCCTATTGAAAATTAGGTAGTCTTCAACGTTGTTTTACGTAGTACTTTACTACTTTTTTTTTTACTTCTAATTTACACTTCTTAAGGTCCTTCGATTATTCTTTAGCCCTGTAATCCAGTGTAATTATAGTTTTTACTAGATAAATTGCCGCGGAAGAAGATTAAAATGCTTGAAATAATGATATGGTATGTGATTAAAACAAGAGCGAATCGTGTTCCCGATGGGATCATCACAGATCCCCATCCCCATTAGGGCTACAAGATGGAGATATCGTTCAGAAGAGACACAATGTATGAGGTGATAATTCACTTGTACGTCACCCGCTCGCATTTGCATTCGCCATTCGATTGCACCATTCCCGGTCGACTAACTACGGTTATCCTCAATCAGCTAATTTATTTCCCTGGAAAATATCGCCCCCACCTCGAGAAAGGCGAACGATTTTCCCTGCCAAGGGGCTCCACCTCCATTCAAATGGGGGAAACCAAACAATTAAGCAAACAAAACGACAGCGACCACGGCTGCAGTCTCCAACTGCAGCTCCAGCTTCAGCTCCAGCTCCAACTTCTGCTCCAACTCGCCAGCTCCGACTCTTGATAGCCCCTCCAGATAGAAACTGTCAAACAAAACAAACTACACGATAGAAGCCAAACAAAGCGAGGCTTCCAAAGTGTGCTGCGTTTTAGTACCCGTTAATAGCGGGGTATATCATTGTAATCAAATTTAGATAACTTAACCTATTTGTTTCAATTTATTTAGGGTTTAAAATTTATATAGAATGACATATTTATACTGATGAATACATGTATTAAACATACATATATCCTATAACATTACGTACCATTATCAAAACAGTTTCAAAATTATATAATAAGGGACGTTACGAAATACAGATTATATCTGCCAACTTTCGAGCCCTTGACCATGCATACTAACAGGTATCTAGTAGTCTAATTTCCCATTTCATAAACCTTCTTGTTTATGGTTGCCTTGCCTTTGTCTTTTGTTTTTGCCTGAGATGGTAGGCTAAGTACAAGGAAAGGCGTCAATGACGACAGACGAAGACGACTGACGTCGACCTTCGGCAACCACGCCAACAAAAAGGAGGTTCAAATGAAAAAAAAGAGTTAAGTAGAAACCACTAAAAAACGAGCCCCAAGAAAAGGACCGAGAGATGCATCGAATATAAATTAACTGCCATGAACGAGGTAATGGAGCAACAATAACAAGAATAACAGTGGCAGCAGAGAGAGAAAAAGGACATACTCTTAAGAAGCTGTCAAAATGTTCCCTATCTATTAGACTTGAAAAATATTACCATACACACTTGCCATTACATTTAAATATTAAAATAGGGGTAAAAATTAGGTAGTTTTAAATAATCACATTTATAAAAAAATGTAAAAATATTTTGCTTAACTGTATTACAGCTATATATAATTTAAGAAAAAGATGAAGATGAATTGTTACACAGTTTGTACATCCTTTCCTGTAATATTTTAATAAAACAAGGCAACTACTTTTCTGAGTGCACCGAAGAGAAAAGCCACAATGAAGGCTCCACAATGCTAGTGGGCGTGTACCGCTCCCCATCCGCCCACAGCTGCCGCTCCTCCCACCGCCCCCCGCGGCCGTGTGCAAGCCAAGTGCAATCTGTGGCAGCGATCGGCCAAGTACAAATGGTTAGGAGATGCAACAGTAACAGCGAAAACTGCAACAGCCACAATGGCTGGCGAGGTCAAACAGCAATCAATAAAGGTCAGCGACTACCGCCGGGGCACGCCTGACTGCCTACCGTCAATGCCGCTCTGCTGGATTGCTGGATCGTCGGATTGTCGGATTGCTGGATTGCCCGGTGGCCAGATCGTCGGCAGGAGGGGAGCTGAAGGTGCAGAACCAGCTCCCAGCCCACACCCAATTCTCCGCCGCTCCACTGCCGCCCCCCTCTCGCAGCCACTTGCCCATTCATGCGGCCCACGATGAAGATGCTTTATGTTGCAAATTGAAAGCTGGACATCCAATCGACTGAAGAAGAACAAGACGAACACGGCAAAGAAGAAGCAGTAGTAGAAGTAGAAGTGGAGGCAGTGCCATGGGCAGTGGCAGCAGGAAGGTGGGAAAGAGAAGGCTGGCCGACAAATGTAGACAGTTGCGACTGCGCAGCCGCAGCAGCCGCAGCAGCAGAAGGTTGCTGAAGAAGCCGCGTCAGAAGGCCAGAAAGGTGGGAGCGAGAAGGAGCTAGGCTGCTGCAGGGAGAACAGCGCAGTGGTTAACCCCTTATGGCCGATGAAAACTTCGATGAGCGATCGCTGATTTTCTGATAGTAAGTACATTTTATGAAACTTACTGTGCACGTTCTTTTTGTGCCAGTAGCATCTTGTAATTATTTTAGAGAATAATATTGGCAAATAATACTTAAATTTGAGTCAAAACAGATTTTAAAATATATTTAAATGCTTAGAAACTCTTTGAATATGTAATAAGTATATTTAAAACAATTCTAATTTGTCTTCAAGTAGAGCAACTTTTTTAAGGCGAAATTAATTACGCAGGATATTCTTTTTGCTAACAGCCCACCAGCGGGATTTCCTTGGGCACCATTGGGTTAATTAGCTAAATGGCGGATGTCGATGACTGTGGCATTAGGCGTATGTTTCTTGGCTATTCCTTGGCTGCCCCTTGACTGTCGATGCCCACCAACCGACCGACTGAGCGACCAGCGACCCTGTCCCGCCCCCGCAGCTGTTGCTTCCGAGGTTGCACAGCTCCCGGTTCCAAAGCCACGGCTAAAACCATCGGTGATGATGATGATAATGATGATGATGATGAGGATGCTACCAAGTGGCCTCTGCCTTTTTGAATGCATCTTGCGGCGGCTGCTATCTGCCTGGCCGTGGCATCCACAAGATATTTTTAATGGCCCAGCTTCCTTTTTGCAGATGCTCTGCTACTTTGCCTCTGCCGTCGTTTTTTGTTGGTCCGATATTTGTGAATGAAGTTGTTTTAGATACACACACTCGTACTCCACTCCGCTGGCAGAGAAGTAGCACCATTATCGCACTGACATGTCTGCTGGATGTCGCTGCTGCCCACCACCCCCTTTTTGCGCCCGCCAGCCCACCGCCAGCCGCCCACTTGGCGGTGTGTGTCACCTGTTGATGGATTTCGTTGTTTGATTAACATGAAATGGCATCGCATCCAATCCCAGCCGATCTTGATGCCTTGAGTGGAGTAGAGTGGATTGGAGTGGAGTGGAGTGGAGTGGAGTGGAGTGGAGACGCCGACTCTAAGTGACTCCGTGCCAGTTGGATCGCCTGGCGGATAGTTAGCCAAATGTCCGAGATTGATGAGGTGGATGGGTTAAGTGATGGCCCCGAGTGGAATGGCCAAGGAAATTGTGGCTTTTGATGGATTTCAATGTACTTACTCCTTGGAAGCGTTTATCTGAAAAGACCGCAACCTTTGGAGCCCATGATACATTCATTCGAATGAAAACGAATTAACAACCGATAGTTGGTACAATTTGTAACCAACAACTTATATGAACAAAAAATGTGATAGTTACTTAACCTATTTTTATCCCTTGGATGTATATTTAAATATGAACTAACTTAAAATCGAGAAATGCCGTGTTTCCATTAAAGAGGAAGACTTTTTGCAATATAAAGATGTAGAATCCCGGAATGAGATTACGCGACATTTGTTGACAATAAAAGTAGGTAAAACCAGGTACGACAAACACATGGCATAATTATAAACCACTTAGAGGATACGCCTTTTAGCACTACCTGTGCCGTATCCTGGCCACTATAAATTCCATTCGCCCCGAGCGCCATTAGTACACTCAGAACCAAACTGCCAAGCAGTCAAGATGTCGAGCTCTAAACTAGCTTTCCTTATTCTGGTTATTGCCTGCTTGGTCCTCATCGCTTGGGCACGACCTAGGTCGAGATCTTCAATATTCAATGAGGTCACATCGCTGCCGGCGGAGCGGAGAATGAGCAACGAAATCATGGACCAGATATCGCCCATGAGGAGGCCACACAGGAGGGACTACTTCGTGAAGAAGCGCCCGCTCATCAGCTCTAGGATGATGATGTCCCGAAGTCCCTTCCCCGGCCGCTTCTACAGCGATGCAGTGCAGCAGATTGCCCCAGGTGGAGCCAACTACTTTGGGAATGACGTCCTGCCGTTTTCGACCTACGAGATCCTGGAACCGGAGTCATTGTATTAGAAGTAGTAAACGAATTAAATTTAATTTAATTTTACAACTGACAAGGTGTTCATGTGTTCATATAAATGAAAAATATAATTAATAGTTTGATAACCCACATATATTATACTCCTGGTTTCCGGGCTGCCCGGTATCTGATAGTCGAGAGGCTGCAGCGTTTTTACTTGTTTCTATTTGTATTTGCGGCAATACACCTACTTAAGAATAATGTTTCAAGCCCCAGAGAAGTTTTTATTACCTATGTTACCTATGTATATTCAACCAGCGATCCCTAGAGGATCTTCCATTCAGCTAATCGAAGCCGAGAGCTCCGAGGGACGAGCCCATTTTGCTAGCAACAATCAACACTCGTATCATCAACAATCTGAACAAACTACAACAACATAATCAACGGCAGCAACAAAACGCTTAAATACGCAACGGGGGAGAGGGCCAAAAAAGTAAAAAAGAGTCGAGAATCGGGTAGGAGCATCCCAAATGCCATGTAGGAATCCATGTAGGAACATCGGGTTGGCGTGTGTATCTGCGAGTGGCCATATCCCCAAGGAACGAATGTTTCTGTTTGTCGTTCTGGCCGGAGGACAAATCTCTATGGCCAGAGGCGGAGAGCGGCTGGCCGGCCGAACGCAACAAGTGTTCCAAATCAAAACGGAAGCACAAGCCAGGCCATGGCCATGGTAACTCCGGCTGGCCAGGCCAGGCCAGACCAGGCCGCTCCTTTATGCCGCATATGTACATGGCTTTTTGGTTCGACATGGCAAAAGCATTTGGAAAATGTAATTTACAACGCTCAACGCGGAGCGACCACTTCGCAAGCACACGCATACATATATATACATATATACATGTTGGCCCGGGGAACTGGTCAACTTTGGTCGGACTCGGTCGCATCAAGAGCCACTCAACCTCAAAGTTGAACGGCATCGGCATCACCTGCCACCGATCTCACACCGCTCTCATAGCCAGCGAATCGCCAGCGAATCGCGCTCGGATTGAAATCCAAGAAGCTGAAAAAATAAAGGAAACAGGAGCCCCCAGGCAGGACAAAAGTGATCGAGTTGGACGTACCCTATAACTGGTAAGGAAATGGGGGTATAATATGTATAATGTGTTTCTGGTAAATTGCTGAAACTCGAAGCTGTTTGGTTTCATTCACTTTTTTCTTGGCCCAAATCATAAGGTCGCCCAAACAACCCATCGAGACGGGTATACGAGTACTGAATGAAAAAAGTGCTTAACTAAGAGGAACAAGTGAGCGCAGATTTTAATTTTAACCTTTTTGGTCTGGTTCATTCCACTGCACCACGATGGCTCCTGTGCACCCAACTTTTCCCGCCTGCTGATTCAGTTTCTGCGTACTTTTTTCTGTTTTTAATTTGCTGCGCCGCTTCATAGAGCATTTTTCATTAAATTCCTGAATTAAGGCATTCCTCCGTGGCCTCCCATTGGACGCTGGACATGTTCTGGAATAAGAGCAACATAGCAACCTTGTCCAAGTCCAAGACGACGACATGGTGACGACGATGCCGTCGATGGCGATTGTTTAGGGCACGGCCAAGTTGCCAAGTGGCTTTGGCCAAGAAACTGGCTACCGGTTACGTTGGGAGTTCGAAACCCAATTGGATCACACGTTGAAAAATTGCTTACTACGCTAATGGCCAACTACAAATTATTTGGAAAATAGCACCATGCACTTAAGCTCCTGAAAACATCGCAATTATATCAAACTGGTACAGGGCTAAGATACATTTATTATTATTATTTATGTATTCCAAATTGCTATTTCGCTTGGCATAAACATAATAATTAAAGTATATCTGTCAAGCGCACTTACAAAAATAGTATTCCACAATTTATATAGTTATACTATCAGTGCAGCACCAAGTTGTTTGGAATTTCATATTTCTTGAGTTGCTTTTGTTGTCTCTGCCCTTTTGAGGCATTTTCAGATTGGCTGCATTAAAGAAACTTAGAGTCACCACGTTATGCTGCGACTTCGTGATTGAGATCTCGTAAAAGGATTAATATTAAATCAGTGTCAAAAATGCTTTACGATTGCCTAATATATTTGGTTGGCCATTGAAAAAGGGACAAAGATGCATTCGTTACCTTTGGAAATAGAATAGATACATTGCCTGTTCCTTTGAGAATATGATATGATATATATATTTATATCAAACGTATATAAAGCGTAACAAAAATATTTAAAATAAATTTATATTTAACAATGAGACACAAAATAGTTTAGTTAAATTACTATGGCAATGGTAAATTTATTCAGTTTACGAACTTTCACTGTTGCTAACTGAAATCCATATCGCCGGCTGCAGAGTTCCATGACATGAGGCCCGAGCAAATTCATCCATGTTCAGATTCCCTTCCCGAGATCCCAGCCAGGCCCAGCTGGCATCCAGCACAATTCACTTAAGGCCACCGCCTTAGCTGGCCCCCACCAGAGGCCCCATGAATCCAGAGCACTTTTCTAACTTCCTCTTGCCAATAGAACAAAAGCAGCACAAAGCGCCGCAGATAAAGTGGAATGACAACGGGAGGGCTGGAGGAGATCGGTGTGCTGGCGATTGGGTAGCTGGAGCAGGAGCCAATGGACCGCTGGCGACCCAAAGCTATGCGAGAAAGAAACGGGCGCGAGATCAAGCCAGGTGAAGTCAAGTTCGAGTCACCGGTTGCATAGTTGACCAGATCGGGAGAGGCGAGTGCAGGAGATCCCAAGACTTGCCACTCCATTGGCCAGAGATGCACGCCAATCGTGTCTGGGTGATGCGGATGTGCATTTCAAATGGTCAGCATATTGGGAATCACAGAATTAGCTTTCTTCACAATGATTTCTTCCCACATTAACAATGTATGATATTACAACAAGTTAAGTGCCAGCATTTATTTATTTAAAATGTATTTCTTTTTTATATTTTATTATTTTATACCTCCTTCATGCCAATTATGGGATCGTGTCACGCGGCCATCTCCAGTTGGAGCCACCAACTAGATACAGATATGCGCGGCGACCGCGACGACTGCGCAGGCGCAGCCAGCGGCAACTGGACTGCTGCTGCTGCTGCTGCTGCGGTTGCTGCTGCTGCGCGGTTGCAGATACACTTTAGGGGCATGACATGACTCGCATACGAATTATTATAAACGATCTGGCGCAAAAACTAACAAGCGATGGGGCCGGGACTGGACTGGAATGGAATGGACCTCGCCTGGTGCTCTGTGGGCTGTGCATGTGGAAGTGGATGGATGTGCTCTGCGCGGAGGCAGAGGTGCATGTGGATGTGGATGCGGCGGCCAAATGGGCGGCAAGGTGACGGCGAAGGCATCGGGCGAAAGGAAGGCGGCGGGAAGGCGGAGCGACGGACGAGTTATGGTGGCCAATTGCAAAGTTAATGGAGTTTGGCTACTCCAGCAGTGAAAGATCAGATGGAGCAGGGGGATCGGGATTGAGCTTGGGGTTGGGTTTGGGATCGGGATCGGGCTCGGGATCGGGCGACTTGAGCGGATGCTGGCCGAGAAGATACAGCTACTGGTTCGCGACTCGGCAAAGATTGAACTTAATTTTGCACAAATGCAATTTATAGAAAATTGTTGCCACTTGTTTTCACGTTGATGGCACTCGGGCACCGAGTAGATCATCGGGCGGGGTGGAGCCGGCTGGAGATAATAAATGCAGGTAGCCATTGGATTCCTGGATTCTGCCCGATGCCTGCAGCGTGGCCATTATTTAAATTTTCCCTTCCGCTGCCATACTGCGTTTGCAAAAATTAACAATTAAAATGTCTAATGGCAGAAAAAGTGAGGCGCGATAGAGAAGGATCATAAAGACGCTGTCGCATCAGGTAGGTCGACATAGGTGACTCCTTCTTGGAACTGCCACTCATCAGCCGGGGCAATTAGTTTTCCCTTATTTGTATCGGGCGCAGTTCATCTGGGGATTCGCGTAGGATCGATGGAATCCGAGCAGAGGAAGTGGAAATGACCGAAGGGATTAGCGCGGCATGGTTTATTGGCGAGTCGCGGCCATAAAACTGCGTCCTAATCCATCAACGAACTCCTGGAATCCTCTCGAATCGAGGGTCCCAAAGGACAGGTATCCCAACCGATACCTTATTACCTCGGAGTAACGAGCTATAAAAAGACGCACTGCACCCTGCAGCCCAAACAGTCTTGATTGCACGCAGCATTTGTCACAATATGCTAATTGTTCGCTATCTAATCGCCTTGGTCTTTTCCATTTTCATGGTGGCCACATCTCTAAAGATCGAGGAGCGCCACCGGCGGTGCAATGGCTACAAGATATCCACGCCGGATCGATTGGTCATCAAAATGGAACGACGCGGGGGAAAGTGTGCAACCAAGTTCCTAGAAAAGAGGCGCCTAAAAGTCTAAGCTACCGAAAGATTGCAAAAAAAACCCCAAAACAGTGATAAATTCCTATGCAAGTCGATGGAAAATTAAAGCATTAAGCCTCAGAGGCAATGAACCAATCTATCAAGAGAATCTATTAAAGAGAATATTAAAATTTACTGAGATCACCTGCTAAGCAAAAATATACAACAAGTTAAAAAATATTTCACTACGACTGTGTTTTAAAAATATACCATTGCAAGATTGTAAACTAGTGATTGGCAACTATATATAATATATAAGTATACTATAAACTGCAATAGTTTTTAATCATATTTCAAAATAATTTCGTATAAGAATAAAATGTATCAATAGCAAAGCTGAGTGTTTTGATTGACTTTCAGTAGGATGAGTAATACTTATACCCAGACGTCATTCTGAAACGCATATTTCCCAAACTTCAGTGGTATCTAAAATTAAACATACCTGAAAAGTAATAAGTACAAAGTTTTTTTCTAACATTGGGGCGCATTTAGTTTATTTGTATATGTTTATAACTTTATTTGGAAAGGTAATTTACATGTATAGTTTGTGTAGGTATTGGATGACCCAAGTTTGCATTCCTGTTTGTTGCTCTAATTATTTGTATTATACATTAGCTGACACTTAAATTTACAAAAGCACATACATGTAGGAATGCATTTTTCATATATTTTAATAGCTTTACGAAGCATTAGATTTCATTTTACCACACCATATGCAAAGCGTAAATCAAGAAACGAAGTATTTCAATTTCAAACGTTTGTGCTAATATTCAGTAAATAGGTACATCATTTATTTTTTTGGCAACTACAATGGAACATTTTTTCATACGTTTCGTAGACATTCAAAGGGATAAGTTGTATACATAAGTATATATATGTTTGTATATATATGGATATAGTTGAGTCTTAGCATTAGTTTAATTGCCCTAAACATTTGCGTTTATCCATTATGCTAATCTGTGTATTTGGCTTATTTTTTGGTTTGTTGAAATGCTTGAATTGTTAATTTAACCAACAGCTCTGGCTTCCGGACAATCTCCAGTTCTCTGGGAACTTACTTCCTAAAGCAGGAGATGGGATTAAAGTAGCACTGCCGGTATCTAACTTGGCGTTTGCTCTCGGGCAGCCGATAAAGTTCGTTCACATTGCCGTAGGTGGGACTCCTCAAGTAGGCGCTGTAACTGCTGCAAAAGTTAACCCAATTTGACATTGCTCACAATGGTTGGTAGTGCTTTCTGCTTACGTCGGTCTGTATTGGGCGAAGAGCATCTGCAGCCGGTCCATTGGAATATTGGGATAGATGGCCTGGGCTGGCATGTCATAGCCACCTCCGTAGGCGCCTCGCACGTCCTCCGCCTCCTGGCCATCCAGTCCATCGGAGTCCTTGAATCAAGGTACACATTAGGTAGACATTCCTAACTCGTTCTGGGAAGATGTTACTCACCGGTCCTGCTTCTGCTCCTGAAGGTCGAGCCTCGCTGAGGGCAAAGAGCAGAGTGAGGAGTAGGCCGTAGCACAATAGTATCTGCACGAATTTCATCATTTTTGAAGGCTTCTGCTCTGAAATGTAATAAAACATCATTAATATTAGCCCCTTATAAAACAATTTTGGTAGCCCAACCGCAAGCCTTTTCAAAAGTCGAATTCAATTATTGCAAATAATTCAATGTCCATATATGGTATATACATATAACTATAGTTATGAATTCCAATTAATGCAAATGCGTGCAAAATGCTTCTTCAAAGAGAAATCCCAGCACTTTTTACCCGGCTAATCCCGAAGCTCAAAGGTTGTCAAGAGGCGAGTGCAGAAAAAAAAGTGCCATGAAGTTCAACTAGCCACATTTTTAATTAAAGGTGCTGGGGATTCAGTGGAATTGCCTGTATACGCATGTATATTATTTTGAAACACTTTAGACACAGTTCAACCTGAATGGCCGGGCAACAAAGCAGGTTGCAGTTACCCAAAGCACTTGCTGCCACAAACGTGACGTGCATTTCTGCGTTTCTGACGCAGATTGGAGTCCTGAGTACTGAGTACTGTTTTTCACCTTATCCCGGCTTAAGTGCATTTCCGCAATTAAAAGCGGATATGGACCGCAGCTTAAGCCATGCAACAGCCGCACCCACACGGTCAACCACTTCTGCGTTGCATCCGCAATACAATGGTCGCTAGTGCAACGTGTGGCAGCCACACAATGGCCGGGTGCATGGCCTTGTTCGAGCCATGTTGGTCAAACTTTAATTGATTTCATCAGAAGCTGACAAAAGACGTGCCCGAAGTTGGCTGGGGTTGCCTTTATTTATGTGGGTAATTATCAAAGAACTTTCATGGCCGGTTTCGTAACGTGTTGTCAACTTGGCAAAAGTGATTGATCAAACAAGGGGTTATTCAATCAGCTGTTCAAGCTGTAGGGGTGAAAGGTCACTGATGCATATTATTTAGTATCCATGCATCCTTTCTAATCTTTTATAAACGATTTTGGACAGGAATCACATTTATTAATGTTTTCTTGAACAATTCTTTATGTGCATATCAAGTTAGATGCTACTAATTAGTATGAAAATTGGATTTTATTACATTATATCCATCCACCTACTGAATTAATCATATCATTTAATAGCAGCAGCAGATCAAAGCTGAGTACTAAAGTAATATATATGACAGAAATTCGCAAACACGTGTTCTAAAACTGCAGCCAGCAACTAATTACTTGAATTACATAATTTATGACATCATGGTAATTTAAGTGGGTGTGAAATCAAAGGGAAAACCTCTCCCGCAGGACATGAATACATAAAGAGCCCCTGTTTGCACATAAATCCCCGTTGGGCCGGGGAAAATGAGGTCATCAAATGACTTTCAGTACCATCACCATAATCATCATAACCATCATAATCATCTGCATGCAACAGGTAAACGAGAAACTGAACCATGGACCATGGCACACACGGCCATATAGACTTGGCCCATCGAGGACCTCAACGATGTGGCCCGTAAACGTTAACGACTTGTCTCATTTGCTGGCTGCAGCTCATAAAATGCTGCTGCTCCTAGATGGTTCTTAAATGTCAAGCAGCTGGTTGCGTGAATGCATTGTTATGGTGCCCAAAATCTGAATTGCAAATAAGCTGTCTGTTTTGAAGAAATGTTCAAACACTGGTGCATTGTCTAAGAAATTGCTAACATGATTTTTTATTTGGATCACTTACTATAGCAGTCTGAGATTATTATTGCCTTGTTATCTCTCGAAAACGTGCACTACATTTGTGCCACTGAAACAGTGATAAATATTGGCTCATATGGGAACATTTGCGTGAGTAAATTGGCGAAAGTGCATGCGAGTCGCTTAAAACAGAGATAATTACAATGCCGCAGCCGGCGAACTAAACTTTGAGCTCATAAAATATTTGTTAGATTAAGCAGCTAGTGGGTGATAAATAAAAACTAATGACGAGGGGGCTAACTTCTGCCCACCCCTTGCACTGGCTTAGCTGGATCAAATGGAATAATAAAAGGCCAAAAGCGGACCCAAAGCCAAACATAATCAGGACACATTTATTGCCGCCGATAAATAATGCTCGAATGTTAATTGGAAATTTAATCTCGCCGCCGTGGCAGCCAAAGAGTTGCAAGTACTAAAAAACCAACGCACCGCTTGGTTAAAGCGTTCAAAAAAGAAAAGAAAATAAAAGCACCAATTCATGTGGCACTTTAGACTCTGCCGTATTATCCTGATAAACACTCCGGCTTAACTTCGAGTTCCGTTCATTTGCTCGTCACATTTGAGCCCGTGGCGAAAGGAACTTTAAAATTAGCCAAGAACGAATGTCGTTGGGCAAATATTGCCAGAAGGACCTGGCGTGGGCTTCATTAATGTGTGTGTTTTTGACAGGAGCCGGCAGGACGATGGCCGTGTCCTTGGCCATGTGATTTATCTGGTCATATGATATTTTCGAGCAGCAAATTAAAATTACGTCAGTCAGCCACCCAAAACTGGAAACTTCAGACATCTTCAAATACGTATCAAGAGGTTGCAAATGTTTCCCTTTCCTTGCCGGGCTGTGGAGCACTTGAAGTTGTATCGAGTTTCTTTGGGGGATCTGTTTTTTGTGGTTACGTTTCGATTTGCGGAAAATGCGGCTCCAAGTGGAAGAGTTATTTACCCAATTAGATCTGAAGTTAACTTTTGTAGGATAGAATGTTCGAAAACATGTGCTAAAGTATTTGTGCTCTTTTTTCAGCTTCATTGCGGTTGGGTATAAATTTAGAATAGATCAATTGCCGTAGGCCTCTGGTTACATTTTCTATTACTTTTTTCAGCAACTTTAATATTCAAACGATGACTATTTTTGTTTGTTTAACCTGATTATCACAGCACGAAGCTTTTTAAGCAAACAAGAAGCTGGCCCTTCTCCGCCAGATTCTCCCCCTTACATTTCCAGGGAAAATTAGCTGCCTCATTGATGCCCTTAACCCGCGGGAAAAATGCCATGAGAACCGTAGGCGTTTGCTAATAAATATTAAATGCAATTTGATTGCGGTTTCGGCGGGAATCGACCAAACCACACCAAAGCCAGTCAACTGAAGTTATTTATTATCAGCAACTCGAATCGAGTTGGAAGTCCAAATCAAATGAGGTGAATGTTTTGTGCGTGTTCCTGATTTTTCTACGCTTCATAAATAATTCACATAATTTTCATTCGGTTCCTCCTGATTTGGTCTGTCATTAGGTGGCTCTGGGAAAGTCCCAGTGGAAATTGAGGCTCTGACATATTCAAAACAAAAAGAAAATCAACGGGGTGGTGAAAAATGGCCTTTGAATTGCACATACACGTCAACACGGGGGAGTTTTCCAAGGGCAAAAAGGAACCTTTCGCTACCTTCAATGCTGTTAAAGGCCTATAAATTTTCAGCAACTTTTATGAATTCATTTCAGGAGGAGCAGCTTTGACTCAATTTAAACGACAAGCAAACAAATTGACTTCAATTATTCAGTAAAGATATAAACTGCAGATACTCAGATGCACTTTGTAAAAATTATTTTAAAATTCGTATTATCCTATATTCGTATAAAAAATGTTTTGCAAATCATAATTTTAATATTCAACTATTCCGCATCTCGTTAGAAATTTTAGCATTTGCTGCTTTTTGAGCGTAATGCGTAAACTATACTTATGCTACTTTATTTAAAAAAAATCGAGCCAGAAGATTTATAATTCACTGATATTAACTGTTTCGATTAACCTTTACGCTATGATATCAGCGGCTATAATTCTTTTGCCCAGCGATATTTCACCCGTGGCACAATTTCCGCGCCCACAAATTAATTCTGGCAGACACATAACTGCCCACTTCAATTAATCGCCGAATTCCAAGTGGCGACGGTAAACAGTACAAAACTCACCGATGCTTTTCGACTGGATGAGATTGGGAATAGCCGGAATGGAATTGGCGTCGGTAAATGGGATAAATCTGGCGCCAGAAATTAGTCAGTCGGTAATTTGCGAACTATTTGCGTTGGTTTTCGCCTTCAAGTGGAGTTTCAGTTGGTGGAAAGTCGGTCTGATCCTTCGGCCGGGCTTACTTGTTGCTGCTGTCGCTCTGTCGATGTGAACGCCAAGAAGGGAAATTGGTAACTCGATGTTGGCGATGCCTGCCACCGGGCTTTATATACAAAATAGCAAACAGCACCCAGGGCAGCGACGCCGGCAGCGGCAGAAGCAGCAGCAGCAGAAGTAGCACCACCACAACCACCACCAGCAGCAGCAGCAGGAAGCACGAGCTGGCGGAACAGCCAGGGGGCTGAGGGGGCGGCCCACGGGGTGGGCGCAATTCGTTAGGGGCGTCTGCTGAGGCAGAGCTTTATGCCCCTTGTCAAGCGGCACTGCAGTCAGCAGGAATAACACTTGCTTGTAGTATCTGGCACAGGAGGAGGATTGTTGAGGTGCACGGATCCTTAAGAAGATTAACGCTATGTGGTCACAGGCCAAAACAAGATAGGCGAATTAGACTTTCTCAAAGTTCGAGGGTCATTTTTATTTAGATGAATTAGTCAGCATGTGGAGATGTCTCTGATCAAAATGGAACTTCAAGTTAGCAGCACTCGGAACTTTTGGAATGCCTTCGAGTAAGCATTTCGAACAACCAATTAAACTAAAATCAAACGATTTTTTAAGTTTGCTTACAAGTAAATAATTTCGTTTATAATTGGTTTATACTGGTTTAAACCTTATTTGCTTCGATTCAAAGTATGCGAGGGCATAAACTAAATGGCAAAGAGCATCCCCCCGTCGCCAAAATGTCAACTTCCATGTGCCTGCTGCCCGTACAATGGGGCGTATGAACAATGTGCGACTTGTTAATTCACCACACGGACATGGACACCCACCCACACACAGGCGCTCTGCCTGCCACTGGGCGTGGTGAGTAGCGGCAACCAACGGCACCTGTTGCCGATTAGCCGACTCGTACGAAACCTGTTGCATACTTAGCAGCGCAGAGCACAGTATCTATGAGGTTGAGATTACACGAAAACGAGGCACGAAATGCATTTGGACAGTAGGGATGTAAGTAGGTCTTACATCCGCCATTGATTTATGGCCATTGATAGGAAAATTGCGCCATGTGCGAAAGCGAGATAATGGCATAAACACACATAAAAATAGATGCCCATCGGCGCTAATCTAATAATATAAGGTTGTATGGCATTCGTGGAAAATTAAGCACTTCCGCCTATGAAAGCAGTGCATGTTGCTTTTGGTAAATACAAAAATTATTACAGATGCGGATTCTCATGTATTAAGTATGCCAAAAACATTATTTAATATTCATAAATACATTTATTTTATGACCAGGAATCTGATAGTCGGAAAACTGAAGCTAGAAACTCAGTTCTTGTGTGTGCTTTTTGAAATCGACTTTGCTCCCGATGCCCATCAATTAACGCTGGCAATTAGATGTACATAAAAGCCTATTAATGTGTGCTCCAACAAACTCATTAATGGCCACTATTGGCCAATAAAACTTTGCCTATCACTTTCGCAGCCAAGGTGGCTAGGCAATAAACGTGCTTTGCACACTAAAACCGATCGCCAGTTAAACTAAACTGTTCATTTGAAGGAAGACAGTTGACCCGCAGATAATAATATGCATTGACTTTCAGTTTGATAGTTTGCAAGTTCAAGTGGAAGTGATTTGCATGGAAGGAGGAAAAGGTTGATGGAGGAATTTTGCACTTTGAAAAATAAAATGTGCACTGCAAGGAAAACCCTGAATCAATTTACAAATTGTAAGTTATTGATATGAAAAAACCAAGTCTAAAAAGACAATATTACGTATACGCAGCGTAGGCTTGCAAACCTTAAATTATTCCCAGTGAAAGTACCGCTGATCTTAGCATTTAAGTATATAGAGCTCCAGATATCAGTTGATAGAGAAGATACTTCCGCTTGGAGCACGCCCACAATTTGCACCCGAAAATAGATCGTAAAAGAACACGAACTGCGGGCATGCGACGGATTTGCTGAGAATTGCGATTTATGGCTATGTCAATCAGCATTATGCAGGATAGGTAGGATTACCTGTCTACCCCAAATTGCCCACAAATATACCCACTGAATTTATACTCCAGTATGGCACGAGTATGGGTGTGTGAATTAATTTATTTATGAATGCCGTTGGACTTATCGCTGGTGGTTTATTTATAACGCAGATTCACAGTGAGTAACAAATGCACAGATACATTTACAGAAACAGAAACAGATACTAGATACAGATACCACTAGATACAATTGCAGAACTCGGGGATTTCAGTTAATGGCGCGAACAACTCTCACAACAGCAGCGCAGCAATTTCAAAACGGGTTCTTAAACACATCTCTGACGATCAGTTGGGATTTGAAAGGTTTGTGGCATGTGGTCCACTCCAGAGACGGCTTTTTGCTGGACTTTTTTTTGGGTGTTTTTTCAGAAGCAGCTGACGGCATTGAAATAGCATCGCCAGTACGCTCGTCCACCGCCGGATCCGGATGGTTGGATACGCCGGGAACCAGCTGGGGAACCGGAATGGGTGGACGTTCCAGATCGATCTGCGCCGGCTCTTCTCTGAAAGCTCTTTGGCATTAACTGAAATTTTCTTACACATCGCGCTGCTAATTTTATGTCTTATATTGCAATTTAGGTTTTATGTTCCAACTTACTGTTTCGCCAGTGGCGCGATTGATCTGGTTTAAATCTTTGAAATCATAATCCAACATTGTTCCCGAATCGTCGTCGCTGTACATGCCTAAACGAACAGCCCATTTGCAATCATTTCTTTTTATAGATATCATCACCAGCACATACCATCCTCCCTGACTTGGTGGGGCTCCATTCCGTTGTGGGATTCGCCAAATTTACCACCCAATAAGTTTCTATCCCCGAAGAATTCGCCGATTCGTTGTTCACTTCTTTCCTGCTCGAGGGCATGATGCAAGGCAACCATTAGTCTATCCAGAAGTAATGCTGCTCGCTTAGGAACCACCATCTATAAGATTGTAGAGAAAATAGGGAGTCATGTAAATAAAAAATAACAAAAAGGCGGACGGGAGATATTTGACAACCTTATAATTAGCAACAAATAAAAATTATAATTTTTAGATAAATTGGTTAATTTAATGTATTTTAATTTAATCTATTAAAAAAGTGATGGAACACATTTCTTATAATAGATATGTTAGATTTTCTTAGACCTGCTGGCACAGCCAATTCTAATTTTCAATTAGTTAAATGTTTTTTTCGAGGTCCTTACACCCACTTCCCACGCATCAAACATGAGCCGCACAGAATATTTAATTTCTGGTTGAAAGTGCTCTGGCCACAGTGGGCCCTCATTACGCCCAACACCAATAGTGTGCACCTGGCTTAATCAAAGTGATGTGACGTCAGCTCGCCTTTCAAGGGAAATGTAGCTAGGGGTCAGAGCCGAAAAGCAATCAAATGGAAAATATACAATTACAAATTGTGTAAGCTGATAGGGATTCAAAAAAAGCCAGTGACCAACCGACCCACGCGGTGATTCCATTTTTGGGCTTTATAATTTTCGGATATTTTGCTTACCGGATACTCGTCGTAGCCCTCGTCGGCTGGGGCACTGAAAATCTCCTCCGGCTGGCTGGGGGCCGACCTGGATCCGCCCGCCCGCTTGTCATCCGCCGGAGTGTTGGCCTCCGGCAATGTCACCTCTCCGGCTGCACTGCCGCCAATGGAGAGCAGCTTGTCGGGGGATCGTTTGTCGGTGCCGGGATACACCATCAATTGCCGGCACATGTGCAGCTCAAAGTTCTGGATGAGGACGAGCAGGATAATCAACATGGCTGGTAGGTGATAGGTTCTGCTTGGTGGAGAACCCTCCTTGACGGCAAGACTCGTGGAACTGCTCCTCCTCCTGGCAGTTTGGCGACCAGGTGGGCGATGCATTCTTGTGTCTACTGGCGGGAAACTAATTAATGTCAAGCCTGTCCTACGTTGAACACTTTTGAAAAATCAACTGAAGCGTTGGCTTTATGCGTTCGACGCTTTTATAGCAGCCAATTCCTTTGCAATTGCTAGTTTTTTTTTTTTTTTCATTTTCCTTTTTCGTCCTGCCACTGCTTTTTTACAGTAATGAAGCATTATAGACGCTTGTTAATCGGGATGGAGCTGGTCCAACAGTGAAATGCTTTTTTCATACTTTGATTTACGATTGCGGCTCCCACTCGGCGTCCTTGTTGTTGCTCCTTGGCTGCGGCTCTGGCTGTAATTACCGAACATCAAAATCCATGTCCTGCCTGCAGCCAAGTTATTAACGCACACACACGCGCACACATATCGGCCATAAGTGGGCGGAAGGATGTGTGTGTGGTTGCAGCCTGTTGCGCTTTTTCGGTAGTTCGGCTTAATGAGCGAAATGTGAAAGTCCTTTTTCGGCCCAATTCGCCTACCCACTTGTTGCTCGTTAGGCCAAAAAAATGAGATGCTGGGCAGAGGAATGGGATGGCCACGAACTCGGTTGACTCCTCGCTGCATGTGTCCTTTCACTGCGTCCCTGTGTGGGCGCCACTTAAGTGTTTTGCATGCTGGCCCTTAAAATGTGGTGCATCCTTCCTTAACGAAGGATTCTTGGTGGATTACTGCGATTCACAAGTCGACCACCGATATTATACTTCTCCAAGAAATTTAAAGGTGACAGGCTTTAATGATAAAGCTACAATGTTTCTTAACATTTCTGTGACTTTCATATCCAATGACTTTGTTTAGAAAAATTACGTTTCGCAGCACTTTAATTTAAGTTGTGCAGAACAACAATAAATTAAAGCGAAACAGCAGGAGCTATAAGGATCAGAGTTCATTGGCCATGAAACATTTCTAGCCTATTAATTACCTACTGTTAGGGATTTCCGCATGCAAATCGTAATAAAACTGCGAAAACAAGCCGTAAATGAGTTCATGTTTCATGGGTTTCATGTGTAACAAACTCGTTGGCCTAAGTAAACTATACATACTTTGAAAGGACGTAGAATAAGTAAAACAACAAATTTTAAGGAATTTTTAATGTGAATTCTTATTGCTGCTCAATTTCTGTTGTAAAATAACAATAATACCTAAAATGAACTAGTATTTAAATTCTGTTCAATTTTGAGCCCATTTATTTGATAGCCAAAATGCCGGAATCAGAATTTTAAATATTAGTTTCCATCTTCAGTCAAATGTTTCCGCCAGTTATTTTCCTAGCATAGCGTATTTCCAAATCGTAACAAAACTCGTTCCCGGTTTCTCAGAGTGTAGTTTCGCCATCGCAGCATCCCTGGAGCATCCGACACGAGCCCGCGCCTGCGCCCAAGCCACCCACCCGAGTAACGGGAATGTCAAAACACTGGGAGAGCGGAAGAGCGGGAGAGCGGGAGAGCGGAAGAGCGGGAGAGAGCCAGTAGCCCAGTCAACTGGGAGCCCGCAGCCTCCGAGTCCTGCGGAAATCCAGTGTGCGATGTGGAGCCAAGTGAAACGGAATTAGTCTGCAGTAATTCGCCGTCGAAAGCGTGGCCATTGTGAGCTCGAACAAAAACAAAAACAGCAGAAACGCAGGAAAAAGTCGAGCGCAGGGGGCGCAGGACGAAGGACGAAGGAGATGCAGGCAGCCGAGCGAGGCAGTCGTGTGAAAATTGTTGTATCGAAAGTGCATAAAATGTGGCCCACAAACAATTAGCGGAATAAGCAGAGCACGGAGAACAAAACAAAAACTCGGACTAACTAGAAAGCAAACAGGATGTCAAGGACTTGAGCACGAGCGGGGCGGGGGAGCGGCGGGCGCGACTAACAACAGGACTTTGGGCGCATCAGGACTCGCAGCCAGTGACGCCAAGATGCGTGCCTACTACACGGCAAAGGATATGCGAAAATACGGCGATTTGAGCTATGAGTAAGTACCAAAATGGGCAAGTCCCTCGTTCAACATCAAAGGCTGCCGAAAATGGAAATGTGGAGGGGGTGCTGGGCGCTTTTTGGGGCAAGGGACAGGTGTGTCATCGCTTGTTTGCTTGGAGCTTTCTAGCCGAATGCCATTTCAACGTTTATCCTTATCCTGCTGCCCCTAAACCGTTCGATTCCCTTGATTTCCCGTGTGTTTGCACGAGGAATATGCAATTGCAAGTGTCAATTGAAAATTGTTTTTGTCCACAATCGAATGGAATGAAGATTTCTTCTGGTTCGCTAAAAGTGGGTTATGCTCTTCAAAAAAAGGGATGAGTGATTGATATTTATTTGTGGTATGTTAACTTATTTGCCTTTCATTTAATTTTATGCTAACGGATTGGCGTGTTCTCCTGAAATCTCGTTCTGTATCTTAGTAAGGACATTGTTCAACTTTTAACGTCGGTGGTACAGGCAATACAGGCTATGAATAACAATTGAAAACACTACGATCTCACTTTTAATTTACTTGGAGTCGATTTTACTCAGTTCCTCACACAATTTCTGCACTGCAACCTTTTTCGTATGTTTATTTACTATTGGCTACTTCAGTAGGCAGTCCGCGTATGCATATTCATAAGCTAGCCTGGCTTAAAGTTGAAAGCATTGACAGCATCACGTTCTCCTGCATTCCTTGACACGGGAACCACACTTCTGGGAGGCGTAGTGGTGGCTCGCAGGACCTCAAGCGGGTGAAGCTTAGTCTGGGTGGGCAGCGGATTAAGGACTTTCGGCTGAGTGGCTACTCAGAGTAGCTAGCTTCCTTTGTCTCGGGCAGTCATTATATGGTTTGTTGCCTTAATTAATGGCTGTCAGCATAAAAACTGCTAAGCTCTATAGAGAATGCAATGAACCGCCAGAAGTGAAAATAAAGGGGGTGAAAAGAAATAAATAGCCTTTCAAAAATATTAATAGTATCTGCGCATCAATACTGAAATGAATCAATATTTAATTCGTTTTGTATCTACCAAACATTTGCTATTACAAATCTTCAGTTTCGAGTATGCTTTTCACTGAGATTTTCAAACATCCCCATCAAATATAAGCAGAACCTTTCAAGATCTACATAGAGTACTACTTTTCAAACACGTTCCCTTGGCCTTTTCTGCTAGACTCACACATCAATCGTTTCTCATTATTCAACAGAAGCAAGTATCTGCTGGATCCGAAGTTTATGACCAAGAGGGATTTGCAGCAGTACTACCGCTACTACAACATGAACAAGAACCGTGGACAATTCAAGAAGGTTGTGATTGTGATCTTCGCCCTCTGCGTGTTTTCCTACCTGTGTGTGGACTACAACCTCAGGACGAAGCTCCTTCGTTTCCGCGATGGATTCGACTTTATGGCCCGCATCGAGGACCACTACGGCGGAAATGTGACAACGGCCTATTTCGTTGATACGCCGGGCTGCCGGATGCCGCACTTCGAGGTCACCGACGACACCATTGCCCAGTTCATGTTAAAGCCGCGTCCGTACAGCTGCAACAGAGCTCTGATCCGCACGAGCGACACGATTCCCGGACAGCTGCACCTCAATCTGGAGGCCAGTGAGCTGCTCGCATACTACAACATCAGCGATCTGTCCTCCGTAAATTGCAACTACACGGAGGTGAAGCGGAAAACCGATGCCAGTAACACTTACAGTCCGGCAGTGAGTTTCAAGCTGGATAAGGTAATGAAACTGCCGCTCAGCTCGGAGTTCATTTGCATGTGGTGCTACGATGCTTTGGACAAACTCTTCTACAAGGACTGTCATTTCTTTGCTGTAGATAAGCCGAAGATTAGGCCCCCACTTAAAACCGGAACCGATAGGGTGAGCTTCAACAAGAGCAAGGAGGAGCAGGAACGGCTTTCCGTGATGATTCTGGGCATGGACAGCCTATCTCACCTGAATTTCCTACGCCAGATGCGCCGCACAGCGAACTACGTCCGGAAGCATCTGTCCCACGTGGAATTTTGGGGCTACAACAAGGTGGGCGACAACACCTTTCCCAACCTGGTGCCCCTGCTGAGTGGCTTGGAAGACCAGGAACTGAATATGGCCTGCACGCCAAAAACATTGCGATCCTATGATAGGTGCTCATTCATTTGGAAACGCTACCAGCAGCTGGGCTATCGCTCCATTTTCGCCGAGGATGTGGCCCTACTCTCGGCTTTCAACTACAATAAAAATGGGTTCCGCAAGCAGCCCACGGACTACTATCTGCGACCCATGATCATGGAGATGGAAAAGACGGTGGCCTTCAAAAAGGACCTCAACATGCACTTGTGCATGGGCAGCCGGAGGACGGCGGACGTACTGCTCGAATACATGAGGAAACTGGTGCCCCGGATGAGCAGGGATCTTTACTTTTCCTTTTTCTGGACGGTGGCCCTAACACATGACTACTTTAATTTCCCCTCACTGCTGGATGAGGCCATGTTGCAACAGTTGACGCAGCTGCAAGATTCCGGAGTCCTTAATCGCACGGTGGTAATGTTGCTATCCGATCACGGACTTAGATGGGGCTCCTTTCGACGGACCTACCAAGGTATGATGGAGGAACGGCAGCCCCTAATGATGCTGTTGTATCCGCCGTGGATGAACGAGCGCTATCCGGAGGCCATTGCGAATCTCAGGTTGAATGCCCGCCGGCTGACCACACCATTTGATGTGCACGCGACGATGCTGCAGCTCCTGAATCTTCACAATTTGGAGGCGGATGAGTTGCAGCGCAGATCAGTAGAGATGGACGAGCCGGATAGCACGCTGCCCAGAGGCATCAGCCTATTCCTGCCCATACCGGCTGCTCGGACCTGCGAGCAGGCGGGCATCGCTGCCCACTGGTGCACCTGCCACCAGCGGCAGGAGCTGCAGACAAACGATCCACGTGTCCAGCGGGCGGCGCGTTATCTGGTACGCCTGATCAACAACCGACTGAAGGATAGCTCCCAGTGCAGGACCCTATACCTAAACTCCATACTCCAGGCTCTGATTGCGGCGCCGCACTCGAAGATCGTGAAGAACATTTCCACGGACTAT